GGGGCACAGGATTTCCGTTCTAAAACCCATGTTGTCTGGGGGTGATGAGCTTTCCTTTCTAGATGTTCCCCCCATTCTTCCCTGAAATCTTTTCATGATTTTGCATGTATAATGTCGTGCAGGGTCGTGTTTTGTGTTCATGTCTTCTCCTTTTTTAAAAATTGGGACCACTTTGTGTCTTCCTCCCTCAGGCAATCCCCCTGTTTCGATAGAGAACTGAATTTGTTTTTAGGAGTACACATAGGCCTCTGCCCCTCTTTCAGGACCCATGGAGAGATGTTATCGGGCCCCCATTGCCTTTGGGTATCTAGCTCACCAAAACCCCTCTTCACTTTTTCCCTCGGTTGTGTGTTCCGTGTCCGCACCTGGTGATGTGCCACCCCTTTCCCCTCCCTCGGGAGCCCCTTCTGTCTCCTCTGTGAAACTTCTTTAAATCTCTTGTTGAGTCCTTACATACTTCACAGTCATTTCTTGTTGTCTCTCCTCCTTCCTTCCTTACCCTGATTCCTGGCCCTTGGGGTTTTTTTTCTTCCTGATGTGGTGTTACAGCTTGGGTAGATTTGGCTTTCGCTGCTTTGTCGTTTTATATTTCGTTGGGCCTCCCTTCTTACCTGTGCTTTTTCGTTTTGGCTGTACAAATGCTCTCCTTATTTTCCGGGTCCTTTTCCTTCTTTTTCTTTTCCATTCCCTAGCACACTTGGGTTTTTTCCTCCTTGCACCTTTGGGGGGAACACGGGCTCATCCCGGCTTTTTCATTTTCCTGTTTCCCTTTGGGGCAAAACCCCTCCTAGCCCTTGACATTGTTTACATATTCCATATCTCTTAACTGGCTTCCCCGCCAGTTCTCTGTCCCCCTGAACCTCGTTCAGAAGTTCCCCATTCCCCGCAGTCCCCTTTCCCGTAGTGGTTTTTATTGTCCTGCCTTCCGTTCCCCCCCCACTTGTGCTCTACTGTGTTTCGAAGCTCAAAAACACATGATCGCTGGCCCAAGGGGGCTTTATAGTGATTCCTCAAAATCTCCCCCTGCTCAAGGTAAAAATAAGTCCCGTTTGCTGGCTCATTCCCCCCTCCTCCTTTTAGTGTCCCTTCGTTTTGGGGACATGAAGTTTTCCGTACCACCCCCATCATCTTAGCCCTCCTGTATCTCGGGCCCCCCTGTGGCTCCAAATTTCCCGTCGTCCCTTGTGGTTAAAGTCGCCCCTAATCAGGAGTTTTGCCCTGCATGATGAGCTTTTTGGCCATGCAGCCAGTGTGTCAACATGCTCTATTGCTCTCGTTTTTCTCATGCCCCGGTCTTGCTGTTCTGTGGTGGGGTTATAATCACTGCAATTATCACTTGGGCACCAGAGTGAACGTTCCGCTATGTAATCACTTTCTTCTCCCCTGTCTCCCCTCTCCGCTCTAAAATTCCATCGGTGTTTTATCAGCAGTGCCACTCCCCCATCCCCCTGTTCCCCCGTCTTTCCTAGGATCTGGGATCCCCTTGGAAAGATGGCATTGTTATCATATCTGTAAGCTGGTTTTGTGAGTGCTATGATGTCCCGGGGATGTCTCTTTACTCTTTCGTCCACTCCCCCCACTTGTTTTTTATTCATCAGGTTTTTGTCCCTATTCGTTTCCTTTCCCAAATGTGGGTTTTGGGGGGGCCCGTGGGGGTGGGAGACCTGGTAGCATCTTTGGATTTATGGTTTGGGGTTGGGTGGAAGCTGTGGGTATGGATTGTATTGTGTGTTGGGGGGGTGTGATAGGGTTTTGGGGTTCTGAGGATAGTTTTGTGTGTGTTTGCCCCGCTGCTTGTTCTGCTTACTGACTTTCCCCGACCCTTTTTTGCGGTTGATAAACCTTAGCTAAATTTATATCTCCTTCCTTCCTGTTCATCCCCTTTAGCTTCATATTTTGTGTCTTCTTGGTCATCCCCCCGAGATTTTCTTCAGCCCGTTTACCCAAATTTAGGACCCCTTACCCTGTTACTGCAGTTTCGATTGTGCCTCCCTTTTTTTCGTCTCCTCCCCCTCTTTTCCCATTTCGCAGAGAGCTCCTTTCCATTTTTTCAGAAAGCTCTCCCAATTTTCTCTCCCATTCTTGCTCCATCCTTTTCCCCTGCTCCTCCATCCATTCCCCCCTACCAATACCCCTTTCATCTGATCCCTGATTCCTACGGTCCCCAAACCTTTTTTTTTTATAGTACAGGGGGGGGGGGAAAGAGAGAAAAAAGAGAGAGAGAGAGAGGGGAGAGAGAGAGAGAGAGGGGAGAGAAAAGAGAGGGAGAGAGAGAGAGAAGAGGGGGGAGGGGGGTGAGAGAGAGGAGGGGAGAGAGGAGAGGGGATGAGGGGAAAGAAAAGAAAGGGGAAGAAAAGAGAGAGAGAGAGAGAGAGAGAGGAGAGAGAGAGGTGGGGAAGAAGGAGGGAGAGAGAGAGAGAGAGGGAGAGAGAGAGAAAAAGAGGGGGGAGGGAAGAGGGGGAGAGAAGGGGGGAGTAAGGAAAAGGGGGGGGAGGAGAGAAGAGAGAGAGAGAAGGGAAGAAGAGGAGGAAAGAGGGGGGGAAAAGAGGAGAAGGAGAGGAGGGGGAGAGGGAAAAGGCAAAAAGGGGGGGAGAGAGGAAGAGAAAAGAGAGAAGGGGAGAAGGGGAAGATAGGAGGGAGAGAAAGGGGAGGAGAAGGGAAAAGAGAGAGAGGAGAGAGAGAAAAAGAGAGGGGAAAGGGAGAAAAGAGAGAGGGGAAAGTGAGGAAAAGGGGGGGAGAAGAGAAAGAGAGAAGGAGAGAAGGGGAAAAAAAAGGGGAGATGAGAGAGAGGAAAAGAGGGGAAAAGAGAAAAGAGAGAGGGGAGAGGAGAAAAGGAAGAGAGAGAGAGGAAGGGGAAGAGAGGAAAAGGAGAGGGAAAAAGGGGAGAGGGGAAAAGGGGGAAGAAAAAAAAAGAGAAGGGAAAGGGGAGGG